ATTTTCTGCCTACCTGCTCTATCAGTTACTGAGAGTTGGGTATGGAAGTCTCCCACTAATATTGTAGGCTTGTTTTTTTCTTCTTACGGTTCTGTTAGTTTGTGTGTCGTGTATTTTGAAGCTCTGTATTAGGTGCCCATATGTTTAGGATCGGATGTCCTCTGGCGGGGTTGACACTCTTATCACCATTAAATGACTTAATTCATTTCTGGTAATATTCTTTGTTCTGCAATCTACTTTAATATTAATAAAGTCACTCCAGCTTTCTTTTAGTAGTGTTAGAATGTTATATGTTTTTTATACTTTAAATATAGAGACACAGTGCTTGCTTCGGCAGCACATATACTAAAATTGGAACAGTACAGAGAAGATTAGCATGGCCCCGGCGCAAGGATAACACGCAAATTCGTGAAGCATTCCATATTTAAATATATATATATATATAAAGACAGAAATAGGTTAAAAGTTAAAGTGTGTTTCTTGTAGACAATATACAGTTCATGCTTTTTTTAATCCAATATGCTCATCTTTGCCTTTTAATTAGGGCAATTAGACAAATATTTACATTTAATATGATTATTAATATGGTTGAGTTTTCATCTCTCATATTGCTTTTTGTTTTCTATTTGTCTCATCAGTTCTTTGTTTCCTTTTTTCATCTTAGTTTAGTATTTTTTATCCATTTTGTCTTGTTTCTGAGCTTATTGTCTATAACTTTTTGTTTTGCTATTTCAGTGATTTCTTTAAGATTTATAATACAAATCCTATCGCACAAATATATCTTCAGGTGCTTTAAAATAGTACATTTCCGTTTCACCCCTCCTGACCTTCATGCATCTGTAGTCATACATTTTACCTTTATATATGTTATAAACACCTCACTACATTATTATTTATGCTTAAACTGTCATCTTTTGAAGAGATTGAATAATAAGAAAAAAATCTTTCATATTCTTCCATTTTGTTACCATTTCCAGTGTTTTTCATTCCTTTGTGTGTGTTCCTTTCCTTGTGTAGATCGTTCCTTTGTAGCAGATGTGTTATTTCCATCTGCTATCATTTTCCTTCTGCCTAAAGGACTCCCTTCAACATTTCTTGTAGTGTTGGCTGGCTTGATATGAATACTTTCACTTTTTGCGTGCATGAAAAGGTCTATTTCACCTTCGTGTTTGAAAGTTGTTTTCATTTGGTATAGAATTCTGTGTTGAAAGATTTGCTTTTTATTCCTGGTACTTGAAAGATGTTGCTCCATTGTCTTCTCACTTGCATTTTTTTTTCCAATGAGAAATAGGCTGTTAGTTTATCTGACATCTTTTCCCCTAATTTGGGTACTTTTAAGATTTCTCTTTGGGGCCAGCCCAGTAGTGTAGCGGTTAAGTTCCTGCTTTCCACTTTGGTGGCCCAGGGTTCACCGATTCGGATCCTGGGCGCGGACCTCCTCACCACTCATCAAGCCACACTGAGGCGGCGTCCCATATAGAAGAGCTACAGCTCTACGACTATGATACACAACTACGTATTGGGGCTTTGGGGAGAAAAAAAGAAGATCGGCAAAAGATGTTAGCACAGGGTCAATCTTCCTCAAAAAAAAAAAAAATTTCTCTTTATCACTGGTTTTGAGCAATTTGATTATGGTTTGCCTTGTTATAATTTTCTTCCTGTTTCTTATGCTGGGGATTGGTTGAGCTTGAATCTGTAGGTTTATAGTTTTAATCAAATTTGGAACATTTTGGGCCATTTTTTCTTCTGCCTTTTTTTCTGTATCTCACTGTTTCTCTCCTCTTCTTTGAGGATTCCAGTTACACATATATTAGGCCATGTGAAGGGGTCCCACAGCTCACTATGCTTTGTCTATTTTTTTTTAATTCTTTTTTCTCCGTGTAGTTCATCTTGGATAGTTTCCATTGCTGTGTTTTCAAGTTATTTCATCTTTTCTCTGCAGTGTCTAATCTGCCTTTAATCCTATCCAGTATATTTTTCATCTAGGACATTTTAATTTTTATCTCTAGAAATTCAGTTTGGGTCTTCTATATATCTTCCATGTGTCTATTTAACCTTTTGAGCAGGTGGAATATAGTTACAATAACTGTTGTAATGTCTTTGTCTGATAATTCTAACATCTGTGTCAGTTCTTGGTTGATTTCAATTTTTCTGTTCTCATTATGATTTATATTTTCCTATTTATTTGCCTCCCTAGTAAATTTTTATTTGATGCCAAACATTGAAAATTTTATCTTTTGGCTGCTAGATATTTTTGTATTCCTATAAATATTCTTAAGCTGTGTTCTAGAATGTAGTTAAGCTACTCCAAAACAGTGTGATCCTTTTAGGTCTTGCTTTTAAGATTTATTAGGTGAGACTGGAACCGTGTTTTGTCTAAGGCTAATTATTCCTCACTACTGACACAAATCCCTTCTGGCTGCTCTACCCGGTACCCTCTGAGTGTGAGGTTTTTCCCCCTGGCTGATGGGAATAGGCACTGTTCCTGGCCTTGTATAATTTCCGCAGATGCACACAGTCATCAGCACTCTGCTCAAGACTTGGAGGGAACCCTCTGCAGAACTTCAGGTTCTCTCACTGTGAGGCTTTCTCCTCTCTGACACACCATGAACTGTAGCCACCTGCGTCTCCTCAGACTCCCAGCTCTTACTCAGGGAGTCCACCAGCCTCCTTGCAAGTTTAAACTCCCTGTGCTGTGGCCTGGAGACTCTCAAGGCAATAAACCAGGCCATCATAGGGCTCATCTCATTTATTTTCCATCTCTTGGGGACCACCAGCCTTCATTGCCTGTGATTCAGTATCTTGAAAATTGTTGTTTTATATATTTTATCCAGTTTTTTTGGGTTGTTTTAGGCAAGAAGTAAATCTAAATCTGGTCCCGGTTACTCCACATGGGCTGCAAGCACAAGTCCAGATGTTGTCTGTATTGTCAAGGTAGCTTTCTGTTAGAGTGCACATCAGTTATGAGAGAGAAATGGTGGAGAGGATCCCACAGTCTTGATTTCCCTAGAGTGGTCAGGGAAAGCCAAAGATAGAAGACAGCATTTAAGTCTTAAAGATCATGTAGAGACAGGGTGAACAAAAAGAGGAGGACCTAGAAGTCAGGAGGATCGCAGGAGCTAAGGCACAGAAGTGTGGAAGTTCCTGGGCACCCTGAGGCCAGCAGGGTGCTCTGTGGCTGAAATAGAGGTTGAAAACTAGGGGCTGCCCGCCAGAGTCAGTCCTGTGTCTTTGGTTGGGGCCCCTGTGTGTGTGCATGATTTTATTAGTTGCCCAAATATAAAAAGATTTCACATAAATGCAGATTTCTGACTTGTCTTGAAAATAATCCACAGTTCTAGAATGCAACTCCACATTCTTCTCTAGCACCATCAGCTGGAGCTGAGGCGGTCAACTGCCTCCCTTAGAGGGATGGTCCGCTCTCCAGTCTGCCGCTGTCCTGGCACACTGTCACTGGCCTGCTTCCCGCATCCACCGCCTCGCTGTGGCCTCCACAGACATTTGAGTTTTCACTTAATGCTGAAGCACAGGTTCCCTGGAGACAAGGAGAAAGAGTGGACTTCAAACAAATTAAGATTATAAATTATCAGTGCATTTTTCAGAATTCAGCCTTTCCTTTCTCATCATTCTCCTCCTTTCTAAATGTTCTTTTGTTCTTTCATCTTTGTAATTCTCCTTCTCAGGCATCTGACTTCATTTTACTTACTTGTACATCTCCATATTAGCCTTCTCGGGCTGCCATAACAATGCCACAGACTAGATGGCTTAAACAACAGACATTTGCTTTTTCCTGGTCCTGGAGGCTGGAAGTTCAAGATCAAGGTTCCAGCAGGGTTGATTTCTGGTGAGACCCCTCTTCATGGCATGTAGGTGGCTGCCTTCTTGCTGTGTTCTCACACAGCCTTTCCTTGGAGCATATGTGGAGAGAAAGAGCTCTCTGGTGTCTCTTCCTCTTTTTTTTTTTTTTCCTGCTGAGGAAGATTTGCCATGAGCTAACATCCATTGCCAATCTTCCTCTTTTTGTATGTGAGCCGCCACCACAGCATAGCCACTGACAGACGGTGGTGTAGGTCCACACCTGGGAACTGAACCCAGGCCACTGAAGCAGAGCATGTCAAACTTAACCACTGGGCCCCTGGGGCTGGTCCACTCTTCTTCTTCTAAGGACACCAGGCCTATAGATTAGGGCCACACCCTTATGACCTCATTTAACCTTTATTACCTCCTTAAAGGCCCTATCTCCAAATATATTCACTTTGCAGGTAGGGCTTCAACTTGTAGATTTTAAGAGAACACAATTTGGTCCATAGCAGTCTCTATTTGGTCCTACTTATTACCTGATTTTGAAATTCTTGCATCTTTTTCAAGCTCTATTTTGATGTCTCCCACCATTCCTGGTCATCCTAGAAAGGAGATACTGTCTTCCATTGTTTGATTTTCCCTTTTTACATTGTTTTTGTGTTTTCTTTCTCCTAACATAATTTGCACTACTACACCCTCATCCACAAAATGTTTGTTTTATGTTTTACTATTACGATTGAACCATTTGAAAAACTGTATTTTTCATTCCACAGGTCAGTATCTCACAGCTCTCTTACATATAAACTTCCTTCACCGCTTTGTTATTAAGGAATCTTCTATACTTTTACATACACATACACACACACACGTACATTTTTCCTTCTAATTTGATAAAAAAAACTTTCTGGTTTTCCCAGGCATTAATATTTTTCTGAGAGAAGTAAAATTTGCTTTATTCTTGTCCCTTCCTCGTGGTTAAGGAGGAGCCCAACCAGCTAAAGGTTTATGTCTGCATTATTCTTGGCAGCTCCCTGTCTCTCACTCCCACGTGTAATCACTCAGTCTGTCAGGGGTTTTTCTCAGGTCCTTCCATTATCTCCCTTTCTCTTCCCACTGCTGCTTTCCTAGATCAAGCCTCATCTGAGCTATTTTGGCAGCTTTCTTACTGGCTCCTTGTTTCTGATCTCTCCCTCCTGTAGTTCTGAGGTCGGCAAAGAGCAGAGCCGTGAGGACCGAGGACATATAATGGACATGCCGGTGAAGAAGAATGAGCAAACTGGCCGAAAAGTCACCCTAATAGAGGTAAGAGGAAAACCAGGAGAAAGTTGTGTCAGAGTCGGCAGGAAAAGATTTAGGAAAGGCCTGGTCAACGGTGACAATGCCAAAGAGAGGAGAAGTAAAATAAGGACTGAAAAGTGCCCTTTGGGGTTTGCAACCAAGAAGCTGTTTGTGACCTTCAAGAGGATGGTTTTGACAGATAGTCCTGGAAGCATGAATCAGATTGTCTCCAGCTCAGAGGGAAAATACTGTCAGAGCAGACTGCTTCTCCAAGAAGCCGGACCTCAAAGGAAGAGAAAGCTGGGCAGTAACTAGTGGAAAACACAGGATGTAGAGAGAAAGCCTTTACACAGAGGGGGATGACAAGAATATTTACAAACTGAGAGGAGCTATTCAAGGTATGGGGTAAGGGGAAATCCCTGGGGACTGGTGGAAATACACGGGTTAGAATTTGAGACAAGAAAAGGGGAGTTGCAGGGGGCCACTGTTTCCACTGAGACAGACAAGTGGGACAAAATGTGGTTGGATGGTGATGTTGTCTGGTGGGTGATGGGGTCTAAGAAGGCAGGAACGGCCTTTCTAAAGAAGGCCTCTGTTTTCTCTGTGAGGTAGCAGTGAAGTTTGTCTGCTGAAAGTGAAATGTTACAGCCCTGTCACGTCTACTTTTATGAAATTGTCACTTTCTGTCTGGGAAGTAGATTCAAAATTTTCCTAAGTATTTTAAGATTTTACTTGTAAAAAAAATAAAATCTAATTGTACATAAAGCATTATAGATGAATAGTTACATCATCATAGATTAAGGAATGACTTTTCAACCTTGATACCAGAATCAGAAAACATTTTGAAACAGATTTTTAGGTTTAAATAATAGAAACTTTAAAATGAAATAATGTATGTCAAAGAGAAGAAAAACACCATAAGCAAAATCTAAAAGTAAACAATAACCTGAGATGGGGAAGAATTTCATAAAATACATGACAGATAAAGGATTAATACCCTTAACATATGAAAAGCTCTAAAAAATCAACAAGGAAAAGAAGTATACCAATAGAAAAATTGGCAAAGGGCGTGCACAGGACATTCTTAAAGAAATATACATAAATGGCAATGAACATATGAAAAATGTCCACCTTAACAGTGATCAAACTAATAGAAATTAAAACAAGAAATGATATGGTACTTTTCCCTCGCAAAATGGCAACAGGTTTCAAACTTATAATCCCTAGTGTTAATGAGAGTTTGGGGAAATAGGTTCTCTTGTACACTGCTGGTAATAGTGTAAGATTGACACATTCTTTGTGGAGGATAGTTTGGTAAAATTTTTGTAAGTTTTCAAATTGTTCATGTCCTCTGATCTGAGAGTTCTGCTTCCAGGAATCCATTGTAGTAAAATATTCGAGTATACATGCAGAGATTCAGTTAAAAGGCTGCTGCTTGAAGGTGGGCGCTGGCCCGGCGCTTCTTGTCCTGCTTTTCTGCCCCTTTCCTGCCCTGCGTGGGCAGTCTCTGTCATTCTCTCTGACGGTTCCTTCCTCTGCTTAGTCTGATTCATTTCCCTGAAAGATGTTATCTTTACTGCCTACTTGAGCTTCTCGTTGAATTCCCTTCGGGTTCCCTCTCCTGAGGGCGTCCTGGCTTCTCTGTTTACTTACTTCTCTCAGTGCAGTCTGCCCTGGTTCGTTTAACTTGTCCTGCATCTTCTGCACGTGCAGGTCCATCTCCCTCATTCCAGCTGTTGTCTCCCCTCTCTCCCCCTTCCCCTTTCTGTTTTTCTTCTTTGTTTTTGTCCTGCCATGGTCGTAAACTCCTCTCTCACTGTTTGCCTCATAGTTCCTCTAAGATCCTTTACCTTCCTCACTGTCCCTGCATGTGGTTAATAGGGTCTCTGGGTGAGTTGTGCCCAGCATCCATTTGAGCCTTTACTACTTTCTTGCCCATTTTTATTAGACCCTAATTTTGAGCAAGTTTTGCCTGTATGCTTTACCTATATACACGCAGGGACAGAAATGACAGCCTTCTTTGACCCTGGTGGCACTGTACCTCAGCACACCATGTCTGCACCATTTTATTCTCTGCTTCACTTGCTTCGTGAGCTTCACTTGAAACATATTTTTGGGCTTCTATATACAACACCAGCTTATCTGTGGTGGCTCTGTTTAACAAATTTAAAATCAGGAAACATGAACTGACAGAGAATTTTTTTCCCCTCATGTGTAAATGTTTCTCATATGAAAAGATAGGGAGTGCAACCATTTATTTAAGATTGAGCCTGTCCCTGAAAGCATGGATGTGGTCTGACCCTCCTCGGCCACCAGGGAAGGCCCTCAGGAGATATTGACCTGCCCTCTCTGGCCATAATGCTCTAGTCTTTCTCAGGATGACGATGGAACTGACCACCACCTTAACCAGACTGCCAGCATCCTTAGACTGCAGTTCGTTTTCTAAGAACAGCCAAGTGCTAAACCCTTTCGGTCAGAGGGAAGAGCCACGCTTTTGTGTAAGTCCAGGCACTCGTCACTGGGCTGTGACACCTGCAGTGCAGATTTCAGCTCAGCCCCTCCTTCGTCACCTCTGCTTGTAGCAAACCTACTACCTGGTCTCTAAGAAGCAGCTTCCTCTTCTTGGTTTTCATTAATGATGTGATTTGTTTTATTTCAAAGCTGCACCTAGATGCATAGTTAACCATTACTATCTTTGTCAATCAAAAATGACACACCATTTTTTGGATTTATTTGAAAAAATAGAATAATTAACCCACTTGTCAAAGTAGACACAGCCATAGACTAAATGAAAGAATGCTGTTTCATAAAATGGTCTATATCCTTTCTGGTCAGTAACCCTGAAGCATCATCCAATTTTTTTTTTCTAGTGAGTGAAGAATTTTATACACTCTGATTGCCTGCCCTTAATTTCTGGAAGTTGCCCAGGGTTTGAGGTACTTCGTGTCTATAGTTGGGAAGTGTATTTCTTTTTTGCTTGTATTAACTTGTCAGTGTTGGAGCAGGCCTTAAGCAACTGCTGACGACACTAAAAGATGTTAACAGTATGTTCAAGGGCAAACTAGAAGATAGGTAATTAGTACTGTGGTCTTATTTGGTTCTGTGTGTATGTAGGTTGCACAGTGTGTTTTATTACCTGTGCTGTTGCCTGTGCACGCCAAGATTTGGTTGTGGCCAAAGACATTGCTTGAGTTCATATAGTATATTTGGTGTACTTTTCTCCTAGTAAAGAGTTGAAGAAGAATGAAGAGACAGAGAACCAAGTACACAGAAATGAAATGACAAATTAAACCAAATGGAATATCTCTTCAGAGTTCAGAATTTTCATATACTAAAGAAGGAAGGAAGGATCCACTACTTCTTGTTCTTATGAAAGAATCGAGAAAAATCAGAAGCGAGGTATGGGTAGAAAAATAAATGTGGCCTTTTGAGCTTAATTGTTATAAACCATTGTGATTGTTGTTGTTCAAAGTATTGGTTGATACTTGTATTTATGAGTAATTGCATCAACATTACCACTGTTGGAAAACCAGTAAAGAGAAAACTGTAATTGCTACTCAGCAAATATGAAAAAAAGTGTTTGCATTATTCAGATGTCCATTAAGTAATCATTTAATATTATTGTATCTGTAATGTGGTTATACATGTGATGTTATGCTCAGAATATGAAGTATCTGCTTTTGAAATTTAACTTTATTTAAAAGATAAGCAGCTTCAGAATATTGTGTATTCAAAATGGTCCCAGTTTTAAGAAAGATATTAAAAGGAAACAAATTTGTTTGTTTTGAATGATTCATATATGTAACTTGATACGCATAAACTAAAAGCGGCCTGTGGCTAGACTGGCAACTCCAAATTCCTTTCCGTTTTAAAAAAGCATTTCATATTTGAGCATATAAGTGATTTGTATGCTAACATTGTTCAATATTTATTTTAGTTTTAATATTTTTAAATTATTACATTGCATTATTATTTATTTAGTTCTAGAATAACGGTATCATTACTATGTGACTATAGATTTTGAAGTGTAATGTTATAATAGGAAAGTTCATTTCTTTGTGTTTTTCTTGCCCCTTCTTTCTCAACTGTGTGATTATAAGTCTGTCAATAAAATATTTAACCCCAAGAAGGTCAAAACTAATATAAAATTAGAAAACTTATTTACCAAATTAGACAATTGATTCCATTAAAATAAGAAGTGAGAAAAACAGTGTTGGGCATTGGGGTGTAAATTTTGCCCAGATGTATACTCGATGTGAAATATCTTCTAGTGAAAATATATTTGGCTCTTATCCCTGCACATGTTATAGAGGCATGAAAATTGGTAAACATGCCCTGCTGTGTAGAACTCAAAGGCGGGGGGGGGGGGGGGAGGCATTTTTTAAAGTGGTGAATGGCGCTGATGACTGCTGCAGCCCTCGGCCCGGAGCCTGAGCCCCCACTGTTCTGTTCGGATGCATACGTCTGTGCTTCAGGTACAGCTGGGCCCAGCCGGCTTGAGTCACCCTGTGCAAGCTTGTTTTTTCTGTCTTGTGAATGCACTTGATAATTAAAAAATAAAAATATGCATCTCTCTGCAGTTTCAGCTCATAGTTTTGAAATGTTAGTTGATTCTCTGATAATGGTTTTAATCACAAATAATTTCAGCAAGTTACAGAAAAATTTTAAATCAAGACAAGTGAAATAGTACATCGAGGGAGCTAAACATTTGCTGAGATCTCAATGTTCATATGAAAAAATAAATTAAAGGGTTATTTTATATTGTAACTACTGAAGACAAAAATAACAATTGAGGCAAACACCAGGAAAAGTTGGTTCTACTCAAAGCTCAGGCCTTTTCTCTTTTTTCCTGTTAACAAAGCAAGACTTGGGTTATGCACGCGAATAGATTAGTGAAACATCTTTACCACACTCTCTGAGATGAGATGGGGCGGGGGAGATCAAAAAGTGCCCTCCTAGTGGTAAGTCCAACTTGTGATCAAGCAGAGGAATCAGGCACAAGAATCCCCTTGAAGATTTCTGATACTACACGTTTTCTTAGTAACAAATTAGTTTTCTTTGTTTTACCTTCATTCTGAAGTTATTGAATTTTATCCCATTTTATGAAGTCTCTCTAACAATTTGACACTATCTTTTTCTAGATCTAAATATTTTTAAACCATTCTTAGAAATTTATTTCCCAATTATTGATTCAACTCCATCTTGAAGATTAAAGGTTCTTCAGTATCAGAGCTATACAATGAATAAGATTTGCAAAGCTAGAATAAAAATCAAGTTTTTAAAAGATTTAAAACATGAAATATTTTACCCCATGAATGCAAATTTATGTTTAAAATGCACATTTTAAATGAAGTCTATTTTTAAAAGGCTAACACTTGGTACTTCTAAAACCTTGTGTAAGATTTCTTTCCATAAAAGCAAATACTTGACCTTAATTTTATTTTTAAGTTACAGAAAAGTTTTGTTAAAGAAAGACATTTTCTCTTTAGGAAGTTCGGCATGACTATATCTTGGAAATAACTTACCATTTTATAGCTTTATATGACATGTCACTTTAGTTGTATATTTAACTCACAAATATTTTTAAGAGGGTTAGAAAGTTCTAGAAACTATAACAATAATTCATGACCTTACACTTTATACATATTTAAAAGATTTCCATCTGAGGACCATATGTGTTAAGTAAATTATGGGAACATTTTTCAACAATCCCACTTTTTTAAGCTATGTATTTGTTGATTCCTACTTCATTGAACTTAACTACAAAAAATATTCCCCAAACCTTCACTTTATGTACATGACTCTTCATATCAAACCCACGAGGTACATAAAAATCTTCTGTGCCCTACAAATAAGGAAACCAGGGTTAAGAAACTTGTCCAAGTGCACATGGCCAGTAAACATCAGAGCAAGCTGTAAACGGAGGTTTGTCAGCCTCCTCTGGGAGGTCTCCAGGTGCTGGATCTCAGTGGCTGGGTCGAGTCAGCCAGTAAATGCTTCTTGTCAGAGACTGCCCACACGAGGGAGGAAAGAAGCAACTTGGGTGTGCCTACAACCACGCTCAGGGACTAGCGCATCTATGTCTTTAATGCAACAGTGAGCTAAATAAAATGAAATATCATATCTGAGTGAAAATTTTTTTAAAAAACTGATAAATTTGTCTACCCCATAATTGCTTTGGTAAATCTTTACTCCATGCTATGATTCTTACATTTTCTTAGGAAATAGAATTTATGGAATCAAACTAATACATGTACAGTAACACATTATTCAAGAAACAGAAAAGGTGCCATTCCAGTTATATAAGAGATAATAAAAACATCCAGAATCACATCAGTCAAGAGGCTCTGTGGACTGGTGAACTCAATCTATGGATGGACCCAATTATCTGCAGGAAAATTGGATGTCAGCATCATTTAGGGTTAACAATGGACCAACCAGGCAAAAGCAGACAGCTACTCTCCGCAGAGACCCGGAAAGCAAACTTGGTAATGAAGTGCTTCATTCATCATTTCCTTCTGCTCTAATTATTAAAGTGAATAGGAAATACTTTAAGTTAAGGCTGGAACTGGATAACATAAAAACATTTGTTTTGTAAACACAAAGAATGCTTTTTTCTAATGATCGTCTTCTAATCTACATCCAGCATATGTTGGGAGCACTCTGTTTTCTAAAGCTGCCCTTGTGACACCTCACATTCATTCTGATCATGGATGGGTTATTTTACTGTCTCAAAAAATTAGAGGCTAATGTTGCTAAGAATCTACAATTTTAGTTTCTACTCTCAACCTAAAAAAAAGGGCATCATAAGTACATATATAACCATACATAAATTCATGTCCCACCTCGATCACTTCTGTCAAAATTGTCCAACTGTATGTACTTCAGTGTCATTTCTAAAAGTGCTGAACAATCTGATGGTTACTCATTCTAGTTCATTTTTTCTTAAATCATCATTTGATCCCTGTCAGGAATTGTGAAAGAGTATGGTAGAAGAAAATGTAGGAATGAGTTGTTTATACAACATTTATGTAAACTTATATATTACCAGTCATTTAAAGTTGCTTGGAATGGAGGCGATTGGCTTAATGAAGATAAGAAAGAGTCCTAAAGGAGGAAAAGCAAGAAGGTGAGGAAAACAACTTGTTGCCCGAGTGAAAATGAACAACTGAAGCTTACAAAAAGTAGTCGTGAGACCAAACGAAGAAGGCTCCCTGGAGAAAAGCATGGTGGCTTCAGTTCAGGTTTTCAGTGTTTTCATCTGCGAATCAGTAGTTCATTTTTTTCTATTAAATTTATTCACAGGGCCATTTTATATAAACACTCCACACAATTTTTTTCTGAGCTACAGTTCTTCCATTTAAAGTAAGAGGAAGATGGCTAAGCACGGTAGTTGTCAGCCACCCCGGCCTGTTATACAGAAGTGTCAGTGTTCAGAAGTGTCGGCAGATGCTGCTTTTAGCAACTGAATATTTCCATAGTGGTAAGGAAAGTCAGTGAGGTCTGTGCGCTTTAGGAACATCACATTCTTATTATACTTATCATGTGTGCAGGCAGAGTACATAATAAACTAGTCTATAGCAGCTGTAAATTTCTGAGGATTTATCTAACCACAAATGCATTGAAATGGGGAAATGGGGCTATATTAAACTATGCAAGATGCTGCTGGAGCTTTGCCATTTCTGCAACATCCTGTCATTAATTTATCATGACAGGTCTGGCAAACTGAAACATCCAATGCACTTGCGACAGACTGTTCACCCATGGTTGTTGGAGGTTCTGCAGTCACATGGGGTGAAGGTAGAGTTTCCTTTCAAACGTGAACATGGCGCTGTTATATTTAGAGTGCCTTATAGCCAAGGACAGACCTGTTGTCACTTTTGAATTCCAAAATAAGAATATCTAGAATATACAAAAGGTCCTGGGCTGAGATAACGAGCTTAGTCTGTTTTCTGCCCTGTGTTGTCTTTCCTGAAGAGGGCTGGCTCTGGGTGGGGAATGATAAGTCTGGTCCACCCTGCCATGCATGCATGCCTGGGGCCACAGAGGATGGGACTCTCTCCGAGGAGATTTGAGGTCAGGTCTCTCTCGGTAGCCTCTTGAACACATCCCTTCCTGTAAACAAGACTCACAAGACCACCTCCTCCCTGTGTGTCATCCTCTTCTGGAAGCTGCAGTACTGCCATTTGGCAAACTTAGAGCACCAATAAATACAGAAATCCCTGCTCCAACCCGCTCCAATCCAGAGAGGGAAAAAAAAGTAACTTTTTTTGCCAAAATAGA